TTTGGCTTGGACAGTGTTGCTTAAAAAAGGCCCGGTGTTCCGAACAWCAGACTGRGTGTGTTTAAATCGTCAGGATGGAGCCAAGGCAATAGGACAAATCATGGATATACACGAAGAAGGTGCCCTGGTAAATATTTTTAAGATTCAGAAGGGCAAAAAAATTTTAAAAGAAAAACTGGACATGGTCATCTTCTCAGGTTTTGAGGAAATGTTTAGGATAAGAGGTATATACTGTACCGAAAAAAAAGGGTGGCAAACTTTTCTACCTCAGTGTCCCATACCGGAGCTTCCCTTAGATCCAGCTGAATGGGTATGGCGGCTAAACAAGAGAAGCAAACCCTTAAAACTTCAATCCTTGAGTGGTAAGGTCTCTTACAGGCTACTCCGACCTAAAATAGAGGTTTCCGAACTAATACAGGATCGATGGTATAGAGTCTACTATAGACACCTAAACATAAACAGGCATCTAATCAAACCAGTGAAGTGGTACAAAGATCTGAAGGAGAGGCCAGCTAAAATTGTGTCTTTACAATGGCAAATAATACATAGGTGCCTACCCACTAACGATTGGTTAATAGACCATTCTTCTCTTGAGCAAAAGGGTAAGGCAGTACCATGGTGCATATCTTGTGTTCAAGCCTTTCCAAGTAGGAAAATCAGAGAAACAATTGAGCATATCTTCCTACAATGCCCAGGCTCTGTATTACTTTGGAGGTTATGGGACTATGTATGGAAAGGACTAACAGGCCTGGATTGGCCATGGGAGATTACTTTCTACAACTGGTTTGATATCCAGCCAGGAGCTTCCTTGAGATCACCTGAGTGTTTTTCTGACCCTTTTCCTCCCTCTGCTCTGGCTTTAGTGGATCTGGGATGGTTTGGGGGGAAAGAGGGAGGGTAGGTGATTTTATTAGAAGGGTGGGAGTTTATGGAGATAGATGCTAGGTTAATCTTTTTTCTTCTGGCGGTCATTTGGTATGGCTGAAGAGGCATCTAGAGTTCCATGAACAAGTACAACACCATTCTAGGATACGAGGATTTTTGGATTGATATTTTGTTCGATCAAAGTTATATGTAAGGGACGCTGGACCCGTTTTCCAGCAGGTGTTGCTCCCCACCAATAGATCGGAGCCTTTTTTCAAAAAAAAAAAAAAAAAAAAAAAAAAGGTGATGAAGATGGCATCCACCATAGCCACGTACGTACCTCTGGCACTCCTCCCTCCTAGTCCTGGTCTTCTTCCTCCTCCTGTCCTTGCTCCTCCCCAGCAGCGCTGACCAAGAATGGGACTGAGCTCTTGGCTCAGCCCGAAGATATAGCGGCCTACTTGGCTCTTGGGCGGTGACTTCCAGGCCGCTCGGCCTCCAAGCAACCGGTACGTCCTCCCTTTCAGAGGGAAACGTCATTGCAGACTCTGATATTGCCCGTACAGGCCCTAGACTCAGACTGGTTGGACTGGTACCTGCCGAGCCCTAGCCTACAACTACTGGGCCTCTAAAAATGCCAACTTTTGTCTTCTTCTGCTCGGTCTCGAGTACCCTGCACATCTGCCTCTAAATGGTGTGGTACCGGCCTACCTGCTACTTGAGTGTTTTCCACTGCTTCAAGTTGCGCAGGCCTCTTTCCCCGCCAATTGAGTGTTTTCCACACTGCGATCCTCAATGTCACGGCCACAGGTAAGTACCGGGCCTTCGGGCCCAGTGAACGCACAAGTGCCCTTGCGGGTCACACACACTCAAGCGGACAAGCACTCAGACAGACATGCAGACCAGCAAGTGTGCACACACACAGACTTAGAGAACTCAGTAACAAGCGGGAAACTCAGCAAGGCATTCAGTCCATGAGCAAAACTCAGAAATCAGCTGTGTGTGTCAGTCCGTGTTTGGTCAGGTCATTACATCACATGTCGATTGTGTACTTATCAGAATTTTACTTGCAAGCGCACAGCCCAGCACATTGTGCAGTGCGACACGCGGCACAGCACCTTGCTGGTATGTCGCACGAGCAGAGTTTTCATTTATTTATTTATTTAGTGATTTGTGTATTATTGCATACAGAAGAGTGTGAGGCCTAGGGGACATATCCTGTTAAGTACAGGCGTACCAATTTTACTTTTCGTCCGATTGGGCATGGGAAATAGTCCCAGATAGGTCTTCGGGTCGTCACTCTTGACCACTAGGCAGCAACATTACTCGCCCTGACTTTTTTCTTTTCTGTTCAATCCAAAATATTTTTTTGGAGGGGGAACGGGTGACCACCAGTCCCGCCCTGCAACCCCTTTTTGCTCTAGGGTCCTATTTTGTCCGCATGCTGCGTAGGCCTGATGCACTTGTGTGCCTCATGTGTGCAACTGGCCACTCAATTTGTCCTTGCTAGCATGTTATTTTGTTTTTTCTTACAAATGGACAAATGGCACGATAACCATGCCTCTGCCAGAATGTACCTGGACTGGTGGCATGGACTGGGCACGCGTAATCCAGATTTTGCAAGGTATGTAAGGTACATTATGGAGGCGCAATCTTGGAATCCTGGTTACTTGCAATGGCCGTAACGCTATCCAATGATTTTGCTGTAGGGCCACCTTGTATCGTCATGGCAACAGGGGGGGGGGGGGGGGGTAATAGGTGGAGGCAGGGAGGGAACACACCTGGGGAAGAAGCTGTGAGGGGGTAGTACGATAGAAGAGGGGTTTAGGGAGGGGGTCTGTTGGAATTGCTTGGACGGCGGACATGAGCTCATGATAGAGGAGGGGTGGTAGGGGGGGGCGTGGAAAGGCAGGGCAGGAGCATACCTGGGGAAGACGTGCTGAGTGGGAGTATGGGCAGAGAGGCGAGGAAAGAACATACATGAGGAAGAAGTGCTGAGTGGGCGTATGACACAGGAGAAGTGTCCGAATGGAGGTTGCTTGGAGCACATGATGGAGGGGGTGGTTTGGGAGGGGTTTAGGGAGGGAGTGGGGGGGGTATGAGTGGAAAGGCAGGGAAGGAGCATACCTGAGGAAGAAGTGCTGAGTGGGAGTATGGGCAGAGAGGTGGGGAAAGAACATACATGAGGAAGAAGTGCTGAGTGGGCGTATGACCGAGGAGGGGCTTAGGGAGCGGGCAAATGGAGGTTCCTTGGAGCACATGATGGAGGGGGTGGTTTGTGAGGGGTTT